GGGGCAGTTGATGCTACCGGTGCATCGGACCCCGTTGCACATTCAAAAATGTTCGAATTTTTTTTAAAAAAAATTTAGTGTATTGACACAACATGGATGCATGTTGTCATAAAAATTCCAATCAAAACTCAAAACATTTCTTGAGATATAAAAATGACAATTTTGACCTCAATGTGCTAATGGGCCAAAACTGAAGCCCAACTTGTGTTATGTACTATTCAGTGTTAAATTTGTCATTTATGTATCTCGAGCATTGTTTTGAATTTTGATTTAATTTTTTGTGTCAACATATATTGGAGTTGTGTCAATGCACTAAATTTTGTTCGGCTTTTTTTGAACATTTTTAAATGTGCAACGGGAGACCGGTGCACCGGTAGCACCAAGAAAATTCTAGAACATGATTTCACTATGCAACATAAAGTGGTCCCAAGAAAAAGATCTATTTGAAGAACAAAACAGAACTACAATTTTCACTCTTCGGTATCCCATGCCATAGGTCATTCCCTCTTTCCTCATGATGGCTTGTATATTTCTTTCTTTACAACTTGCTTACATAAATGAATATTTTTTTCTTCTACAATGCATATAATAGATAATGGACGCATATATCTGGCGGTCGATCGCCAGGGAGGGAGGCACTGAATGGAATTTGCCGTCGGGCGAGCTGCTCCAGAAAGTGGTAAAGGGTCCAGTTTACTGTTTTTTTAAATGTCGTGGACCAAAAAAATATGTATCTTTCTTGTAAAAACAAAGAAAAAATGCCATGTACCTAAAGGAAGACATCTTTTAATAATAAAAAAATACCATTTCTTATATAAAAAATCTCATATCTTGAAAATAAAATGTAATCTCTTAATATAAAAATTTCATCTCTTTAAAATAAAAAATGTCATCTCTTAATCCAAAATACCGTCTCTTTAATATAAAAAGATGCCATCTCTTAAAAATGTCATCTCTTTCCTCAGTAACAGCCAGGTGAACCAGTTCTGTGCACAAGTACAACAGAAAATTCACATCACACTAATTAGGTTCATTTTTCTTTTATTTGAGAGATGGGTAGCTGGACTTTCTGAGTAAAACATAAGTCTAATCCCAGTGAAAAAAATCAAGCTATCTTAACCTGCAATTTCGATCAAGTAATACCCGTTTATGGAAAGTTATGAATCTGAACAGTAGAGTGATTTTTTCCTAGTGGCAATATGCTTAGAGATATCCATCATATTCGAACCAAATATCCAATTCATTCATCTCCATGTAAATATAAAGCACTGATCAACACAAGCATGTACATCTTGCCAAAGTTTTTCATTTTTTCCCTCTTGTGTCCGTTAAGTTCTTCTCTGTTTTTGACCATGAAATTCAGGAAAACCAAGTTAACTTACCTCAGTTCAAGTCAGTGGGCAACAGCAGCCCAGATCTCCCGACACTCTGCAGAAGCAATAGAACAGAGGCACACTGCATCCGACGTGTGACAAAGCGAGTTGGAGTCACTTTAAACGCAATTTTGGCATTTTCATCCGAAAAATAGGAATAGGCCAATATGGTTGAAAAAATGCAAAAGTTTGCATGGGCTCATATTATGGGATTAGGAGATAGGTGAAAAATTCTCCCGAGATTTGACAATTTTTTATTATACTTTTCTTTACCATGAATGGATCTTCTACGATGATGATTATATATTCAAGACACATGTATGTATTGTTGAGTTTATTGTTTTCGTCATGATGCATATGGGATGAATGAGACCAATACATACCTTAATGCTATGATTGAGTTTACTTTAATGAACGTGTTAGTTTTTGCAGATGCTTGCTAGTAGTTCTAATCATAAGCACGTATATTTCCAGGTATGGGCTGTATGTTAACGGAGGCCTCTCCAACCATATCAAACTGCAATGAGGACGATCAGTCTAGTAATTTAGCCAATTGCCTATGGACAATTTCCCATATCCTATCACCACTTTTTTCACCCTCGCTATCTTTGTTTTATTGTATTTTTACTTAAACAACGCCGACCTTTATTTTCTAGTTATCTCTTACCTTGCAAAGCTATCCTTTTATACCTAGAACATGGTTATAGTTCATTTCCTAGGTGAAGCAAAGGTTTAGTGTACGTGTGGTTGTACCAGTGGCAGATAGGATCTGACAGAATATTAATCCTACCTTTAGCTTCTTGTCAGTTCCACACTCCATACTTACCACATCCACCTTCGGAAATTGCTAAGGCAATTCCTTGTACTTGGGGAATATCAAACTCTTTTCTGTCGCTGTTGCTGGGGAGCAATATCATATGGTGGATATCTCGTGTGCGCTTATTGGCTTTATCACTAAATAGATTTATTTTTTCATTTCTTAGTTGTTTTCCATCTATAGTTATGGATTGGTGACACAAGTTAGTATAAAAATAGTTGTACCTGCTACTCTCAAGTTTGTGGAACCCTCCAAAATCCTTACCGCTGAAAATCACATGGGTTATCTTCAACCCATGAATCCTTGTGTTGGAACCTCATCATACTTGATAAGGGGAACACATTGGATCAATGCAAATACTTTCTATAATACCGCTTGTCCTAAAATGGGAAACACTTGTGGGATCTTATAAATATCTTGAATTACTTTGCTAGAAATTTGTGTAGTCAATGCAATACACATGCTGCTTTAGGAAGAATAAATACTAAACACCTCCCATTCCAATGTTAGTACAATGATAATGACAATGACACATTAGCTTCTCATGCCAATGGTTATCACAATATACTACTCCCACCGTCCCAAAATAACTGTCTCTATGTTGATACAACTTTGTACTAATATTTTGGGATGGAGGGAGTATTTGATAGTACTAAATATTCTTATGAGTGCTGTTAAACCCTAGTGATCCATCGTTGTTGTGAGAAGGCAAATGTTCTGTGCACAGGCTTGCATTTAAGAAGAATATTGTAAAACATAAACAATGATAAAATATACTCAAATGATATTTATTATATGAGTTTTTAACCATCGATTTACTTAATACCGTAACTCATCATGAATTCTTCAAAGAGTCAATTACACCACTGGTGTTTAAACTTGGTTAGAAAAGTCACTTTAGTGCTAAAACTTGTGACATACATTGAACGAGTGCCAAAACTTGGCTCGGACGTACATATATGGTGCAAATCCTGCTCATATACACCTGCGGTGCTGACATGGCACTGTATATATGTACTCTGCCAACCTGGCAGTGATTCGGTCCCACTTGTCAGCTAGCAGTACGAATTATTAATAGTTGCCTGTGTGGCATCGGCTGGGTCCCACCTGTCAGACAAAGAATACAAATAACAGAAAAAAAATAATTAAAACTAAAATACACCGCCAAGGTTCAAACTTGTGAACTCGGCGTTACAAGCAAGCGCCAATAGCCAACCAGGCAAGTAAATTTCATTAACTAACAGGATGCGTATTCGTCTTATCTTTTCAGAGTCAAACTGGCTACTGCCATTGCCGCCCATTTTGCACTGTTATTTTCTTATAGAAATTTGTAAAACATATGTAAGTTATGATCGTGTGTTACAAATACCATATACGTAAATAAAATATATTACATAATAAATACTATATACATAAACAAAATATATTACATAATAAAATGTATTACATAAATATATTACTATGATCTTGTGTTTTTATAAAGAACAATATTTTGTTTAATTAAAATAAATATGAGCCTAGTGTGCGCACAAATTGCGGATCGTCAATTAAATTTTGTTACCTTTTTATAATTCATATATTTTAAGTTAAATGAATATGTTTTCAAATAACATGTGATTATTAATTCATGCTAGTTCCTTCTTCTTTGGAATACAATTTCAATGTATGCTGTTTGGTTGAAAGGATATAAAGCATATGTATGCACTGATATTAAAATATCAAAAGTTGTTGGTCATGTAGCTCTTAGAAAAAGATTTATTTGTCTTGTTGGGTAGCCACGCGCACTGGGAAAGTTTTATTCTGGTTCGAACGCCCGCTACTTACTTTTTCCTTTGGATTAAAAATATGAAGGTTCTGCGTCCAGTTATGAGAACTAAAGTCGTTCGCCCGGCTGGCTAGACATGAGTGCATGTAAGGCCAAGGTTACTGGTTCGAAACAGGAGAACGCAGTATTTTTTTTCCTTGTTAATATTACATACGCTCTTTGACTGACAGGTGGGACCCAATCACTGCCGCATGGGCTGAGTATAGATGTACAAAGCCATGTCAGCGCCACGGCGTATACGAGCGAGATTTGCACCGTATATGCACGCCCCAACCAAGTTCTAGCACCTGTTCATTGTATGCCGCAAGTTTTATCACTAAAGTGATTTTTCATGTCAAGTTTAAGTACCGATGGTGTAATTAACTCTTCTTCAAAAGTCACACTTTATTTTCGATATAATTCATACCATATCTTTAAGTC